CTGTATATAAAAATGACTAGTGTAAAACCATTAAAACAGGAAAACCAACGGCATTTTGTTTATTATTAAACATTTTAGTGCAATCATTCCGATTAAGTTATCAATTGTATCGAAACAAATTGAAGAAAAACAAGAGGGGAAAAAAGGATAAAACATGAAATTTTAGTACAGTATTTATTAGCTTCGGCAAGAGCTTCATTCAAACTCAATACACTGTTTCTGTGATCAGAAGCTAGCTGTATTATATCACATGATAAAACATTTCACATGATATTATTCATTGCAAATATTGGAAAACTAAATGACGATAAATTGTTAGAATTATTTAAATGCTGAACAAAAAGTATTAAGAAAATTCCAAGGTAAGTGGGAAAGCTCATAAATACTGATAAAATTCAATGTTATGAACTTGTATGACAGTTGTTTATAATCCCGTTTTATTGACAAAATTTGTTGAGCTACCCAAACAGTGATGATTGGTTTATGTGACAATGATTAGGATCAAGCAGCAAAAATTGTGTAAACATCACAGACATACAGCACGACTGACTAAAAAAATAAAACAAATTTACAAATAAACCTGACAAAGACGCGGATTCACACGTCTGGACTCACTTGAAACAGGAACGGTCACAGACAGATACCTGAAAGCGGGATGTACAAGTACCGAGCCACGTCACAAGTCGTACGACCAAAATAATCATGGTAGTACAAAGATAAATAAAGGGAAAGCTGTAAAGTAAATAAAACGTGAAACACACTTCGACACTTATAATGTATAGTTCAATACCATCTTATTAAAGGTGAAGCAGATACTGATTAATTATCTATTAGGTATTCATTCCTTCCGATTAACGTTTTGAGGAAAAGGACGCGACGTTTCTTGACAAAATCCTGGCACATTTATATTGTTCTTAAACACCTAAGACTTTTTAAACAAAGTATGAGTTGCAGCTGCAAGCTCCTGAATATCGTATGAGTTGAGAATTATATAGTCCATACGCGGATTATGTTGGTGTATTGCGGTAGGATGAGGAAAATTTATAATTTCAAAATTGAAATCGTCTCTTTTTGTCATAGATTCTTGTACTGAGATGACCGCTTTTTGTCTAATTCAAGGTATATGTTTAGAAATGAGGCTGTATGTGTGATTTCTTTAATTTCTAGTTCAGGAGGATATAGTAATGTAAAACAATCAGAAAAGTTGAGATTGTTAATGAGAAGAACATCATCAATATACATGTATGTGAAAATAAAGGATCAAATTCTTTTTCTTCTTTCTTTTTACAATTGTATGAAGGCTCCGACTAATATGAAAATTAAAAAAGGCGGTCAGAAGAGGCACACAGTTGGTTTCCACAGGAATGCCCTCAATCAGCTGGAAAATTCCTCCTCTAAATTCAACAAGTATATTATCAACGAGAAACTCCAGCATTCTGGTCACTTTTCTTTGGGGGGTGGGGGGGGGGGGGGTGGGGGGGGGGGGTGCCTTCATTCTCAACCAAATTTGTTAAGTTATATAATCCAAAACAATAAATTTGTAACGTATGGTACCATTTTGATGGAGAAAAGCATTGTTGATTTGTTCTTTAAGACAGTGTTTTTTTCAATTTTGCATGTGGTGTGGTGGTGAAAAGGGTAACAAAATGAAGGTTTTGATAGAATTCTTTTCAGAGAATGACCGACATGTAAAATTTCTATAAGTTCTTTTGAATTCTTAAGTAACAACATATATAGCCGCTAATGTACCGTTGTTCGTTGTTTGTACGGACTTATTTGAAGATAAGGTATCCGATACATACCAGGTAAGTCCTCAGAGTTTTACTCATTGAAAAATTCAATGCGACCATAAAGGACTTATCGTTTGTCAATATTTCATCCTTATCAAAAGTTACTTTTGTGAGTGGGATTACCCGAGGGTTAATATATTCCTAATTTTTTTTATAAGACACTCGTAGTTATATGATTTCTGACAAATTAACGTTGCTTTGAGCGTTGTTCACAGAAACAACTTATTAACCGTGAGGAGAGGACAGACATTTCACAATTTACAAACAACTAGCTTGAACTTGTATTATCATACAATTTACAATCTTTACAAAAGTTTAACATATTACGGAAGATATTGATCACATTGTCAATTTCATCAGTAATTGTATTCGTGCATGGCATTTACTTCTTCAAAGTACCATTGCTCTTCTTCATTTTCATTTTTGGTTGTGCATTGTGCTTTTAGCTACGTTTACACATTTTTACTTGTAAATGAAAAAAGTAAAATAACAAAAGTATCGAACTCGAAGGAAAATTCAAAACGGAAAGTCCTTTATAAAAAGGCAAATTCAAAAGCTTAAATAAATCAAACGAATGGAAAACAACTGTCATATTCCTGACTTAGTACAGGCATTTCCTAATGTAGAAAATGGTGGATTAAACACCTGGGTTACAGTCACAGATAATTCCATTATATTGAAAACAATTAGTGAGAAAAACAAAAAGACATAAAAGTGAAAATTTCAAAAATTGAGGTACAGCAGTCAACATTGTAATATAATCTTAAACACTTTAAAAACCATATAATTATTTTAACAAAAAACTAGCATTCTGAGGTTAGCCGCTTAGTGCATAGTGATTTCGAAATCGTCAGCACTGCCAATAAGTCAACAGTAAACAAGCGAGTAAAAAAAGTATTGTTACATGACTGCACAATGATATTCCTTATTCTAACGGTCTAAAACCTCATATGGTCTGGAACATATAACAAAAACACCTATAAGATCCTACAAGCATGTAAACAAATTTCACCGAAATGTAGACTGGAAGTCTTTAAAACATTGATTCCTTTTTTTAAAATAGTAATTTCCTTTCCACTGCTTCTGTGCTTTGATTTTTTGTAAGGCCATCATTTAACTATTTTATATTATTCTGTATCTATCGACCCTAGGAAAATTCAAGTAATTCCTCATAACTATATACAAATAAGTGCTGCATCAATCAATTGAATATTTCTCTAATACAAAAAAGACCTATTGTTTCTTGAGACTTCTGTGTCAGTTATAATAAAATATTCGGTAATTTTTATTTCAGTTAGAATTAATGATATACTTAAAGCCTGGAGGGACAATGATGATAATATGTTTATAAACACAAGAGCTGCTCAGTATGTACTGAAAAGTATACAGAAAAACAGTTGTGTAACTATAATTGCTGGTTCCGGCGTAGGAAAAACGTCAACTCTCCGGCATACAGCTTTGCAATTTGCAGAAGAAGATTATGATGTCCTTCTTGTGACAGAGCCAACTGAAATTGTGAGGTTTTACAATCCAAATCAGAAAACATTGTTTGTTATTGATGATTTATGTGGAAACTTTGGAGTTGACCAGAGCGACATACAAAGTTGGGAACCAGTCATGGGGGATATACAACATATTCTTGATAAAAAACAAACAAAAATACTTGCAGCTTGTCGGTTACAAGTGTACAATGATGAAAAGTTTGATTCTTTATCAGTTTTCAAGTCATGTGTTTGTGACATGTTATCAGAGAACATTTGTTTGTCAAAATCTGAAAAACGTTCAATAGCTAAGTTGTATCTCAAAACAAAAGCGTCTGAAATCGTGGACTACTATGATTTATATGACTGCTTTCCACTTTTATGTAAACTGTACCATGATAATCCTGAACTTAATGTTAAAGATTTCTTCCAGAAACCATTCTCTGTTTATGAAACAGAGATTGACAAGCTGCTTAAAAAAGGGTGTAACACTAAATACTGTGCTTTGGCTTTATGTGTCATGTTTAACAACGAGTTAAATGAGGAAATTTTGACAGAAGAGGTCAATGCAGTAACCAAGAATATCATCAAAAACACATGTGAGGCATGTAAATTAGACAGAGGAACATCTAGACTTGTTTTACATGATGAACTTGACTTACTTACACATACATTCATAAAGAAGGAACAAAACGTTTACAAAACTATACATGATAAAATATTTGACTTTTTAGTTTTCTCCTTTGGAAAAAAAATAATCCATTGCTTGATAAAGAACGCAGACAATGGTTTGCTCAAGGAAAGATTTTTATTAGAAAGAACGGGTGATATGGACCAGTTTATTACTGTTATACCACTGAAGTATCATCAGATTTACATACAGAGAATGATTGATGACTGGTCAACGGGAAAAGTACAAGGTGTATTTGATAACATCAATATGAAGTTACCTCAGTTCAGACATAACTTTCTCTCCAACTTGAATACACTGAATATATCCGACCAGAGACAACTGGCAAATATTATTGATAAACAAAAACCATGTGAAAAACATTTTTCAATGTGGTTTGATGATAATAGTGATAATACATATGATACTGCTTTGTTACATTGTTGTGATATAGGAGACGTTTCTTTGACCGCGTGGTGTTGTAATCATGGTGTTGATGTCAACAGGTGTTCATATAATGGTCAGTCACCCGTTATGATTGGATGTGAAAAAGGTCATACAGAAATAGTAAAGATGTTGTTAGACAGAGGAGCAGACTGTAATAAATGTGACTGGATGGGCCAGTCACCTGTAATGAAAGCTTGTGAACACGGCCATACAGAAATAGTAAAGATGTTGTCAGACAGAGGAGTACTCTGCAATAAATTTGACAGATGGCGACAGTCATCTTTAATGGTTGCTAGTGAACATGGCCATACAGAAATAGTAAAGATGTTGTTACAAACTGGAGCAGACTGTAATACATGCGATGACAATTACAAGTCACAGGTTATGAAGGCTTGTGAACATGGTCATACTGATATAGTAAAGATTTTGTTAGACAGAGGAGCAGACTTTAACAAATGTGACAGATGGGGACAGTCACCTTTACTGGTGGCTTGTGAACATGGTCATACAATAATATTAAAGATGTTGTTAGACAGAGGAGCAGATTATAATAAATGTAACAAGAGGGGTCAGTCACCTATAATGAAGGCATCTGAATTAGGTCATAGACAAATGGTAAAGTTGTTATTAGAAAGTGGAACAGACTGTAATACATGGAACGGTCTGTCAGCCTTAAGGGTGGCTTGTGAATATGGTCATACAGAAATAGTAAAGATGTTGTTAGAAAGAGGTGCAGACTGTAATAAATGCAGGGGTAAGTCACCTTTAATGGTGGCTTGTGAGCACGGTCATACAGAAATAGTAAATATTTTGTTAGAAGGAGGAGCAGATAGTAATGAACAAAATAAAGAAAAATCGAGGGGTCAGTCACCTATAATGATGGCTTGTGAACAAGGTTATACAATAATAGTAAAGCTGTTCTTAGACAGAGGGGCTAACTTTGATAAATGTGACAGAAAGGGACAGTCACCTTTATTTGTGGCTTGTAAACATGGTCATACAGAAATAGTAAAGATGTTATTAGAAAGAGGTGCAGACTGTAATAAATGTGACAAAAATGACAAATCACCTGTATTAGAGGCTTGTAAACATGGTCGTACTGAAATAGTAAATATGTTGTTAGACAGAGGAGTACACTGTAATAAATGTGACAGATTGCGAGAGTCACCTATAATGAAGGCTTGCGAACATGGTCATACAGAAGTAGTAAAACTGTTGTTAGACTGTGGAGCAGACTGCAATACATTTGACATGTGGGGAAAGTCACCTTTAATGGTGGCTTGTAAAAAAGGTCATACAGAAATAGTACATACGTTGTTAGAAAGAGGAGCAGACTGTAATAATTATAAAAGGAGGAGTCGCTCATCTTTATTAGCGGCTTATCAACAAGGTCATACAGAAATTGTTAATTTGTTGTTAGAAAGAAGAGCAGATTGTAATAAATGTGATGATTATAACAAATCACCTGTAGTGAAGGGATGCAAAGATGGTAGTACAGAAACAGTAAATACGTTGTTAGAAAGACAAGCAGTCTGTAATAAATTTGTTGAGGATGACAAGTCACCTCTACTGAAGGCTTGTAAAGATGGTAATACAGATATAGTAAAGATGTTGTTAAACAGAGGATCAGACTTTAATAAATGTGATGAAGATGACAATTCAGCTTTAATGAAGGCTTGTCAATATGGTCATACAGAAATAGTAAATATGTTTTTAGACCGAGGAGCAGACTGTAATAAATTTGATAAAAAGGACAATTCAGCTTTAATGATTGCGTGTGAATATGGTCATATAGAAATAGTAAAGATGTTTTTAGACAGAGGAGCAGACTGTTCTAAATTTGATGAAATTGGCAATTCAGCTTTAATGAAAGCCTGTGAATATGGTCATACAGAAATAGTGAAGATGTTTTTAGACAGAGGAGAAGATTGTAATCACAAGGGAATCTGGGGAGACTCATCTTTAACGAGGGCTTCTCAACATGGGCATACAGAAATAGTAAAGTTGTTGTTAGACAGAGGAGCAGAATGTTATCAATATAGACCCTGGGAAGAATCATCATTAATGCTGGCTTCTAATTACGGTCATACAGAAATAGTAAAGGTATTGTTAGACAGTGGAGCAAACTGTAATTACATTGGGTGGTTTGATCAGACAGCTTTAACGCTGGCTTGTAGTCATGGGAATGTACCAATTATAAAGCTGCTGTTAGATAATGGAGCAGACTCTCATGTATGTAACACTTGGGGAGATGTACCTTTAACGATGCTTTGTAAACAAGGTCATACAGAATTAGTAAAACTGGTGTTAGATGGAGGGAAAGGCTGTAATATATGTGACAATTTGGGACAGACACCTTTATTGGTAGCTTGTGAACAAGGTCATGCATTATTAGTAAAGATGTTGTTAGACAGATTAGCAGATTATGATAAATGTGACAAATGGGGACAGTCACCAGTAATGATGGCTTGTAAACAAGGTCATACAGAAATATTACGGATGTTGTTAGACAGAGGAGCAGACTTAAATATATGTGATGAAGATGACAAGTCTCCTTTAATGAAGGCTTGTGAACGTGGTTATACAGATATAGTCAAGATGTTGGTAGACAGAGGAGAAGACATAAATAAATGTGACGGATGGGGACAGTCACCTTTAACGGTGGCTTGTGAACATGGCCATACAGTATTATTAAAGATGCTGTTAGAAAGAGACGCAGATTATAATAAATGTAACAGAAGGGGTCAGTCTCCTTTAATGAAGGCTTGTGAACATGGTCATACAGAAATAGTTAACATGTTCTTAGATAGAGGAGACAACTGTGATAAATGTGACAGCTGGGGACAGTCAATTGTAATGAAGGCATGTGAACATGGCCGAACAGTATTATTAAAGATGTTGTTAGACAGAGAAGCAGATTATAATAAATGTGACAGCAGGGGTCGGTCACCTTTAATGAAGGCTTGTGAGCATGGTCATACAGAAATAGTAAACATGTTGTTAGAAAGGGGAGCAGACTGTAATAGCTGTGATGAAGATTACAAGACAGCTGTAATGAAGGCTTGTGAACATGGTCATACAGATGTAGTAAAGATTTTGTTAGACAGAGGAGTAGACTGTAATAAATGTGGAAACTGGGAGCATTCACCTTTAGTGACGGCTTGTAAACATGGTTATACAGAAGTAGTAAAGCTGTTGTTAGACAGAGGAGCAGATTGTAATATATGTAATAAATGGGGACAATCACCTGTAATGAAGGCTTGTAAACAAGGTCATACACGAATAGTAGAGATGTTATTAGACAGAGGAGCAGACTGTAATATATGTGATAACTGGGATCAGTCACCTGTAAAGGAGGCTATTGACAATGATCGTATAGTTATAGTAACAATGCTATTAAACAGAGGAGCAGACTATGATCAATATAATGTTAATGTTTGTTCACCTTCAGAGATGGACAACTGAAGATATCCATGTTATAGAATAAAACAACGTAGGTAACAGATTACTTAAAAAAAAACTTTTGTTTTAAGATGTTATTGCCACAAAGAGATTTTATTGGACAATCCAACTGACTCCACTATTTGTTATAAAATTTAATTTGAACTATATCCAACCTATTTTCCTTTAATTGTTGTTCACAACATAGTACGTATTATCATTTCAAGCTCAAACAGGAGTAATTGTCCAGGCGAAAAAGCAATTGAATTGACAGTACCAACACGTCTTTCTCAACACTTTGTTGGTTTAAAAACCAATAAAATAGTTGTTAGTATATGTAGAGCCAGTAGAAGGATAGATAAAAATTCACGCTGATAACTATATTGTTGTCTGACAACATAGTAATAGTTAAACTAATGGGTCTGGATATCATTCAGTTTAATCGGGACATAAAACTTGAAGCAGAGTCCACCATCTGCTGATGGTATGCAGAAAATTAGATTTATATTTTACAGACAAGAAGTCCTTTCTTTATCCGTTCAAATTATATCATGGCCTAGGGTACTCAACCTGCAAATATTGGAAATGCTTTGAACAGCTTCACTCATTCAAAACCTGTGCCTACTAAGTGTTTGGAGATGGACAATTGTAAGAAATCGGGAACAAGGACATTTTCTTCTTTATTTTTTATTTTAGGAAATTGAAGAATGTATTTATATATAAATAAAAACTAGATCTGTTTTATGTTTATCAAGAAAAAATGACATATTTTTTTTTTCAATCTACATATAAAAGCATATATATTATATAACATTGAGAATGGAAACGGGAAATGCATCGAAGAAAAAACAACTCGACCAAAGAGCAGAAAACATCCCAAGGCCACCAATGGGTCTTCAACACAGCGAAAAATCCAGCACCCGGAGGCGGGCTTCAGCTGGCCCCTAAACAATAATGTATTCTACTTCAGCAAAAATGGACGTCACACTTATCTCCGAAAATATGAATGAGCCAAAATTTAAAAAAAACATACAAGACTACCAAAGGCCACACATATATACTAATATATCATCTATAATTGTGTTTTCGGGGTTGATTTTCAGAAAACTAAAAAAAAATATCAAAAATTGGTTAATCTTAAAATTATTACAATGAATCCTACAGTTCTTACTTTGGCAGACAGTTATATTTAGTAGTATGTCTTACCCATTTCCATTCTCAATTTTACTTAATACTGTGGAATTAATAGGGATATCAATCAATGTTGGTATTACTTTTATTAATGGTAAAATTCATATATTATTTATATATAATGTGTTCGAAACATAATTTTAGTGTGGAGTGGTTGGCGGTGGTTGAGATATATATATCAATGTGAACTAATATTTTTTCAGCTTGTATGATTAACTTATATATTTCAGGAGGGGAGTTATTCAAATTATTAGTTATGACTTCTGAGTTCTTACGTGTACACCACAAAGTAAGGTAGACGATCGTCTTTTGCATTTAGTTTTGAATGGTATGCAAAGTAGAGAATTCAAACTCTGTGGAGATTACGACCACATTCCAAAAGTTCTGCATGAAAAAATGCATAACAAACTTATTATGGGTCCCACAAAACTTCACGAACACTCGTGTTGATTATAAAACTAAGACGTATATTTCAAGTTTAAGGTCATGCTATATGCAATAATTTGAATTATGAAACATGTAAATAGAAATAGTGTTAATTTACACATGCATGTATTAAGTGCAAAAGTAAAAAGGTCACGGCTTTGAAACATGTGTTAACACAAGCAAGGATAATAAAAACAAAACTGCTGATAAGCCGAAAGTCAAAACAGTTGCTAGGTTACTTGTAGTAAATACAGATTTACCAGTATCTCAAACAAATGTAAATTTGGCACGATCAAAACACGCAAACAGGCAATGTGTACAATATGTAATAGATGGTATTACAAACGGTTTTGATACCATTGTGTCGAAAACAGTATAAGCTTTCAGGAATCTCTAGTTATTGTTGATAGACTTATAGTTATATTAGAGGGAAAATATTCGGGGGAAAGAGGTTAATAGTTGATGTGTCGTCTCGACATATAAGTCAAGATAATTATTGTTCTATCGATTTAATCCCTGTTCGCTATTATAAGTTACAATAGATGATGCAATAAACGCATAAAAAGAAGTCGGACGATTTTCAATATTAAATAATGCGGGCATTTCAGAGGCATTTGAACAATTAGCATGACAACGAATATGTTACAATTGTCGTATCTACTATCCAGGTCCCCTTTCCCGAATTTGACCTATCGAATAAAACTTGTCATCGGATTTGTACTAACATGAGCATCACGTTGGGTGCCACATGTGGAGCAGGATCTGCTTACCCTTCCGGAGCACCTTAGGTCACCCCCAGTTTTTAGTGGGGTTCATTTTACTCAATCTTTGGTTTCCTATGTTGTGTTTTGTGTACAGTTGTTTGTTTGTCTTTTTCTTTTTTAGCCATCGCGTTGTCAGTTTATTTTCGACTGATGAGTTTTCTTGTCCCTTTGGAACCCTTTGCCTCTTATTTAGAAATCAAGAGGAATCGACATCATGTATACTGTATCAAACGGAGAAATTTATAACACTATTATGTGCGTCTCTGTTTTGACCCACGTTAAGCATCAAAACATTTTATAATTTGTCAGCTTCAATTTGTTAGTTAGCAAGAACATTTACAACTTTGAAGTTATTCTTCATCGACTTGAGGACTGTTTAACAATTCAAGCATCTGACACGTCAGGAGACAGAACTTCGGCAATAATCACCTTGATTTTGAATAGATTGAATATGCCTTTATCTAGGAAAAAGACATCCCACACTATATCTGGGAACTATTTTTGACACTGATAAGGTGGAAGCTAGATTTCCACAAGATCAAGTGGAACGTATTATTTCTTTCATTGGAACCATTCTAAGAAGACGTTCTATTAAAACAGAAATATTTTACAACTTGTTTGAAGTTTCAATTGTGTCGCGAGAGTCATTATACATGGAAGAACTTTTATAACATATTTTATAAACCTATCTAATAAAGTTGATAGTCTCAACTACTATGTTTCACTATCAGCTGCGTTTTATCATTGATATATTGTTCTTTATTTTTAACGTATAATAAACTTGGACAGATTCTCATGAAAAAATTAAGAATAGAGAATACGACCTTCAAAACTTAGTATCGTGGTATATAGCTGTTAATATTCAGGTCTTTTTATCAGGTTGATTTATTGACAATCATGTCACAGCTCCTAATGTTATACAGCTTTGTATTTGACTGATAATCGTATCTCTGGTGTTCTTAGTTATGAAATTAGTTCATCATCTTGGATTAAGGGTTTAACTATTTACTAGTTCAAAAAGGGAGGGATGCCTGAACACATGCAGATTGTAGAGTAAATAAAAGCAAACAATGGACTTGTAAAACATTATTTCATCATTGAATTAGAAGTTTTAATTTTTAAAGCTGAATAGTCTTTTCTGAATTTGAATACAGTCTCCTGTTAGGTGTCATTCGTATACATAAGGATAAAATTAGACGTAAAAGAAAACATTTACCAGACGACAATTGCCTGTACATGGCTGTTGTGCTGTGATTTTAATAACATACTTGGCATGAGCCATACTGTATTAGCCTTTTTAGTTCTTGCTTCTTACGGTCTGCAAGACCATGACAGTACTAAAATGTACATCCATGGTCAGACAAACATGTAAAAGCAATTCATTCATTTTACATTGGTGCATTTCCAAAAATGAATATATATCTATGTTCAAGTTTTTCAACAATAAAGTTGAGGTTTCAAATTGTATCTATTTTACAAGTCTGACTGGCTTGTGTTACCTGTGTAATTAATTAATTGAGATCATACCTATCTTTAATATGATAACCAATACTCAAACCATATAAACCATTATGGTTTAAGTGGCTTACCAATCAGGTTTAGATCATAGTATCAGCAAAACAAAAACTTAGGGTTTTGAACTCATTTCAAACGAGGTACAAAATCAAAATTCGTTAAACTTCTTCAAAACAAAAATGATATTCACACTCAATTTCGGCCTAAGCGAGGACGCAATCTCTTAAGCAGCACCTCGAAATGAATCATCCTCTGGTGTCCTCCAATCTTGCATTTTTTAATATAATTTTTTTTAAATGATTTCTTGAACTCGAATTATATCCAACATTAAACAGCAGTTGACTTGTCCATGTCTGTTTTTTGTTTACATCCTGTAAAAAGTATGAGGTTTATTCACGCATCTTTTATATATATTAACTAGAACACAACCGCAGCATCCGTGAATGAATTATATAAGTGCGTCTATATTTAGCCGAAGGTTTAAGTATTCGTATTGTCATCTGATGAAGTCTCGCGGGTAATTAGGTAGACAATTTTCTTTGCTTCATCCAATAGCTTTCTTATAGGTTTCTTACTATTTTACTTTTTTCGCTGTCGCAAGTAACTAGGTTGATGACAGAGTTGAGCAGAAATTGCTTATCCTTATAAAGAACCGTAAGAGTTATGTCTCTATACGGCAGGTCAAAACGAAAAAGGGTTGAAATAGACACTCTTCCAAAATGGGTTAAGGCAATTAGGTCGTTGATGCAACGAACGAAGAATCCACAAGTTGAAAAATAGTGTGAATGTTGAGCGAGTGTCTCAGCAAAGAATTAGGAAAAGAGCAACTCTCGGGTAATCCAAAGTACACAAGTCCTTCAAGGCTTCAATGAATATTTCAATGAGCAACAAATCGAAGGACTTACCTTATTTGTATTAGATATCTAAGCTTTACAAAGCTCCGTACCAACAAGTGGTACATTACCGGCTCATCTGCATTTTCTACAAAGGAATTGTTCATTAAACTAACCAAAATTTTGTCCGGAGTAAAAGAGGTAATGCAGAAATTCTGTGACACTGTTTCATGGTAGTGGCATTAACCATATGTGGATTCTGAAAAACTTAGGAGAAATTCTGGAACATTGGGAA